AATATAGGCCTAACTTAAGCTCTTATTGAACGTCAACAAAAATCTACCACCGGTTCACTAAACTAGACCTGCACAGAGAAGAACCGGCAAGAAACTCTGCGGTCTTGTTCTTTTTGTTATATATATATTTTTTTTAATGCAATTATACACACTTATTTGGGTATAAAATCAGCAGCAGCCAGGGGTCTTGCAAGTGCAGAGCAAGAGTCATTTCCAAACATCCTTGTCCTCTATGTATTCTTGGATATTATAATAAGCCCTTGCCATTAAGGTAGCTTTTACAAATTGTTTGAAATTGTTTATACTTAGTTGTTTGTGGATGTCACACATGTGTTATTATAAAAGTTGATGCATCTTCCAAGAAACGACTTTCTGGTATTAGCTAATCTAAACCTCTGAGCTATGTCGGTCACCTTAGTTCTACTGCTGATGTCTTCGTTACGTTCGATGTTTAATTAGCTTATTCCTTTACAACCACAGGTAGTTTAGGCAGTTTTAGTAGATGTTTAAAAAATACAAAATTACAAAAACAATTACTTAATCGGTCAAAAAAAACAATTTGTATCAAGGCCATCTCTTCATATAATCTGAAGGTCTCTTTACCTGAGAGGTATAAGGATTGTTGTGGATTTTTTGGCTGTGTGCACTTTTACGTTTGGGGAGGCGGTTGGCTCTGGTGAGACGGAGCGATAGTTGATGGCTGTGGAGGAGTAGAGGTTTTTCTTTGGAGAGGAATGGCGTGTGGGAGTTGGTTGGTGAAAAAGAGGCTGAAGGGGAAGATTTGTGGGTTGAAGTCTTTACGATCTAAAACAACCTGCTTTGATGTGACATATTGGTGTTAATGTCTTGATAGACCTAAAAACCTTTTAGTGTAGGTAGTGCTAATGTAAGGGGGTGTTAATAATAGAAATCGCGGCGTGGAAGCGTGTGTATGAGATATTAGTAAGGGAAAGGATCGGAATTCAAAACGGAATTTTTCGGAGAAACTTTTTACAAAAAATTTTGTTATCTCTTCCTTTATAATGTATTGTGTTTTATTGTATTTTTCTGGTTTGAGTTATAGTTATCGAGTTTTTGTTTTTGTTGAGAGATTGTTATTGTTGTTTTATGATTGGGGATTTGTTTGTTGATAATTTCTAAATTTTTTGGGTTTCTGTACTTGTCTGGTGTTATGATGTATATCTGAGATTAAGGGGGTGTGTTGATTGGTAATCTCAGATCATACATACTCTTTTGATATCAACTCTGATCTTCTTGGTTTATGTAGCATGTTTGAATTACTTTAAATTAAATTTGGAATGTTAGTTTTATTTGTTCAGACTGAATTGTCATATTTGATTGATTCCGTAAAAATCATTTGGAGAAGTAACATGTCTTGAATGGTGGATGTGGCTCATGGGATCGCTCTCAAACCAAAAAGACACTTAAGGACTGATAGGAAAACTGTTTATTTCAACTTAAACATTTTGAACTTATTTTTGGACCAAACGTAATGATTATGAAATTTATATAAAATACAAGAGTCATGTCAGACAGCTAGACATGTTACTTCTACAAACGATTTTTACGGAATCAATCAAATATGACACAATTCAGTCTGAACAAATAAAACTAACATTCTAAATTTAATTTAAAGTAATTCAAACATGCTACATAAACCAAGAAGATCAGAGTTGATATCAAAAGAGTATTTATAATCTGAGATTACCAATCAACACACCCCCTTAATCTCAGACATACATCATAACACCAGACAAGTACAGAAACCCAAAAAATTTAGAAATTATCAACAAACAAATCCCCAATCATAAAACAACAATAACAATCTCTCAACAAAAACAAAAACTCGATAACTATAACTCAAACCAGAAAAATACAATAAAACACAATACATTATAAAGGAAGAGATAACAAAAATTTTTGTAAAAAGTTTCTCCGAAAAATTCCGTTTTGAATTCCGATCCTTTCCCTTACTAATATCTCATACACACGCTTCCAAGGCGCGAATTTCTATTATTAACACCCCCTTACATTAACACTACCTACAGTAAAAGGTTTAGAATGAAAATACCTAAAATTCTTAATAACGTCTATCTAGACATTAACACCAATGTTTCACATCAAAGCAGGTTCTTTTAGATCGTAAAGACTTCAACCCACAAATCTTCCCCTTCAGCCTCTTTTTCACCAACCAACTCCCACGCGCCATTCCTCTCCATAGAAAAACCTCTGCTCCTCCACAGCCATCAACTATCGCTCCGTCTCACCAGAGCCAACCGCCTCCCCAAACGTAAAAGTGCACACAGCCAAAAAATCCATAACAATTCTTCTACCTCTCAGGTAAAGACCTATTTATCGGTGGATCCCTCCCTGGACCCACAAACTCCGCAACAACCTCCGTCTTCCCGTCCATAAAGACCTATTTCTCGGTGCATCCCTCCCTGGACTCACACCCTCCGCAACAACCTCCGTCTCCTATTCACAAAGACCTATTTCTCGGTGGATCCCTCCCTGGACTCACACCCTCCGCAACAAGCTCCGTCTCCTCTTCACAAAAACCTATTTCTCGGTGGATCCCTCTCTGGACCAACACCCTCCGCAACAACCTCCGTCTCCTCTTCAAAAAACCTATTTCTCGGTGGATCCCTCCGCAACAACCCCTTCCTGTCTATCTCCAATCGCATCCAAAAAAAACATTAAAATCTCCTTTATTCTCTACAACTTCATCCTGATTATGAACAAAATTCACGCTCCTCACATCTTCAACTGTTTCCTCACAAACTACTTCATTTGTTTCTGCACTCTCCTTATTCCCAACAACGTCAATTGTTTTTTTTTTTTCAATTGTTCCCTTTTGAATTCTTTCTTTTTTTCAATTATTTCTTCTTCATCACCATGCCTTCATTTTATTCATGGATAATAAATCCTCACTCATGGTCGCAGTCTGCTCGTTCTTTTTCAAAATATTTTCAAAATCCACAGCAGTTATTTTTAAAGTAATTTACTAATTTAATTTGTTTCAAGTCTTGAATGATAGTTTCTTTTTCTAATAATGGTTTGATGGGCTTGTCCATCTTTGAAAATTTCTTTGCAGCTGTCACTTTTGCTCAAAAACTGGAAAATCTCCAAAAAATATAGATGTTTCTGGGCCCATAACCTCTTGAATGGTGGATGTGGCTCATGGGATCGTTCTCAAACCAAAAAGACACTTAAGGACTGATAGGAAAACTGTTTATTTCAACTTAAACATTTTGAACTTATTTTTGGACCAAACGTAATGATTATGAAATTTATATAAAATACAAGAGTTATGTCAGACAGCTAGACATGTTACTTCTACAAACGATTTTTACGGAATCAATCAAATATGACACAATTCAGTCTGAACAAATAAAACTAACATTCTAAATTTAATTTAAAGTAATTCAAACATAATACATAAACCAAGAAGATCAGAGTTCATATCAAAAGAGTATGTATAATCTGAGATTACCAATCAACAACATGTCTAGCTATATGACATAACTCTTGTATTTTATATAAATTTCATAATCATTACGTTTGGTCTAAAATAAGTTGAAAATGTTTAAGTTCAAATAAATAGTTTTCTTATCACTCCTTAAGTGTCTTTTCGGTTTCAAAGTGATCCCATGAGCCACATCCACCATTCAAGACGGAGATCTCGTCGTCGCAGGTTATTGGGTAATAGGTGTTATTTCTTTGCTAGTCTCTCTGCGACCGCCAATTGCCTAATTGTCATTTTAAGATTATAGTCTCTTATCTTGCAGGTTGATGCCGCCATGGCTTTTTGGATAAGGCGGCCTGCTGCATCGTCACAGTCGTCTGTGTAGTAAACACAGCTGACCGTGTGCCGGGATACCGCCACTACGGCATGCTGAACGCTGTCGTGCAGCTGTAGCTTGCTCACTTTTGTACGCATGAAAAAGACTGACCCGTATCCTTGTGCTTCATGAATGGTGAGAACTCGCGAACCGTCGCCATATCCCTGGTTGATAAGGGCCTCTTTTGCATATTCCCTATTCTTTCTGAAGACACTGAAGTAGCCTGGAAAATTAGATACTTAAGGGCGATTTTTGAATATCACTTCTTTTTAAGGTGCTTTTTTTGTAAATTTATTAAATTATAATTGCATAAAATTTTAAAATATTAATCAGTCAAACGATTTGGACTCATTGAACGTCACAGCGTTAAATCATGCAAACTGACAAAAGTATCACGCTAACTAAATAGTTGAAGAATTTAACTAGTTCAAGATTTTTACTTCAAAAAAAATATCGATATTTTTATACATCGCTATCTTTTGCCCGTGCCTAGTAGTAAATATTTTATAAAATCACCAAATGTTATTTTGTAATCAAAGAGAACTTTTATATATGTTTGTAATTGTCATGTGTTTTCTTAACTTTAGGTATAAGTTTATTAACGTCGTTTAACTGAACGTTAATTTGTAATAAGCATAAATATTTAGCTAGTGTTGCCACGATTGTGTCCTGTAATAATTAAAACGTAAGTCAAGTCCCATAAGTTTTGTGTGTCACAAAATTGATACAAAGAGTACTTTTGTTATTTGTATATCTGAATTGATACAATATGATCTTCAACGAAATAAATTAGACTGCAATATATCTATTGATAAGTTGTATTTTTTCGAGAATTGCTCCAAATTGTAATTGATATGATTTTTTGCACATTTTGTATTTTACATGTTGTAGTACGATAAATATTAGACGGTTGTAATAATACCTAAATTGGTAACTACTACTTCAGAATTTTATAAAATGGGAGGATGTCGATGTACATACCGCAACTGCATGGTGAAGACCGATGGAAAGACTCATATGTTCCATTACCCTGTTTTTGACAAAGTAAGGTGTCACCAATGGTTAATCAATGCACATCGACTAGAGTATCTTAATTTAAAAGTATCACAACTTAAGAACAGAGTTGTTTGTCAACACCACTTCAAAGATCAATATTTTATGAATTTTAAGGTAAGTTTTAATTTAATGTCTTGTTATTACTTTATACTATATAGTGGCTTTGTAACTGTGTATTTTTCACTATTAGGAAAACTGAGTACTAACCAAAATGTCCAATTTAGAGAAAAAGACATTTGCAGATTAACATTTAAGAAAATCACTATTGTAGCAATAAAAATTGAACAGCCATTTTATTCATTTTTAATTATATAATAACAACTAGGTTTATTTCATTGATTAGTGAATCAGCTATATCCATTTTTAAGTTAAAAGCAGAAATGCTTCAAAGATACTAGGAAATGTACCAAACTTTTAAATATTGTGGTGTTTTTCTGATTTAAATGATTTTTTTATATTTAAATGAACACACCACTCATCAGAATGTGTGAGGTGAATGCATTTGAGATTTGTTGCACTTTTGAACTTTTTCTTGTTATTCTGATAAGGTGACAAATTTAAAAACTTATTTGACAAAAAGAAATAGTAGTAGATAAATTCATGCATTCATGGCTTTACATGTATTTTTCATTTTGTGGCAGTTCAGATATCACTCAAAAATCCTTCTAGATTTTTTTAAGTGAAAAGTTGGCAAGCAAGCAGGCGGTTCACCTGATGTTAAGTGAATACCATGGACATTCATGCATTGACAACCTTTTGAAAATTGGACTACCTCACTCACCAGATAGAATGCAAAAGTATTTGTCTGGTGAATGAGTTCTGGATGAACCTGCCCATTCGTGCAACAGCTGAGGTTCCTGTGTGGCCCCACCACAGTAAAAACCTTAATTCCTAGATAAACAAGACATTTAACCAAATCTGCAAATAACACAATTATTAAATTGTATTATTTAACAATTCATTAAAATGCTCTAAAAGTAATTTCTGTTAAAGTTGAAAATGTTCAAATTTTGTCACAATAAATAAAATCCCAATAAACAATGTTATTTCAAAAATGTGACATCTTCAACAAATGACAAATGTTTATATAGACATGTAAAACTACGGAAAAAACTGTTCAGGACATTGACGGGTGCATATTGCGATTAAAATAAATTTTAAACGATACAGAAAAATCACTAATAAATTGCTAAACAAGGAGAGTTCTCCGGTTGCTTATAGTTTTCGAAAAAAAAAAATTAAATAGTTGTAATATTCACAATAGAAATCCGCAATTTTGTTGTTGTCAATATTTTAATTTTGCTCCTAATTCTGGGTGGTCATAAAAAAATACCCATGAAGGTGAACACCTTAACCTTCTAACCTAACCTGTCCAAGTTTGATTGCTCTGTGTTGGTACTGTGACACATTAAATTTAAAAAAATAATAATCGAACAATCAATACAAGTATGATGTCACTCGGTTCCTATATTTATCATGTAGGACTCTGTATTCAATTTTTGAAGTCAAATTAGTAAAAGTTCTTAGTGAAAGTTACAAGTTTTAAATATTTTTTTTCTCGAAAACTGTAAGGGATGTAATTCTGCTTGTTGATTAATTCATTAGTGATTTTTCTGTATTCCTTAAATTTTTTTTAATTGCAATTTGCGCTCGTCAATGTGCTGAACATTTGCCCTATTTTATATATGTGAGAAGGATATTTAATCAATATACATTTAATTGTAATTTCAGAAAGAAAAACTTACATTTGAGGCAATACCAACTGAAGATGGTCCCTACTGTGACCCTAGCAAATGGATTGATAAATCGCATGAATTCACTAAACTTTATCCTATTATTATTGAAGATATTGAAAATGATTATTTTCCCATTGATGATAAAAAGGCAAATTTTTCACTAAAGTATATAGATTTTTTGACAAATTCTGTAAATTTAGAAACATCATATCAAAAAACTGATATTAACACCTTGACACAACCAAAATGTGACAATTTTGCTCAATTTAACTTTGTGTTAAACAGCAATGTTGATGAGAAACCCAATAGCATTGAAATTGAAATTGATGAAAATGGGCTATTAAATGATAAATTAGTATCCTTTAAAAATAATATTCAAAATACCCAATCGCAGCCTATTTTTATCATACCTCCATATTCCCACAATTTGAATCTAGGTGAAACAACCCAAAATAATTTGTGTATGGATATTAATAAATTGCCTGATAAAAAATTGCAAATAAATGTAAAAAGTAAACCAAAGGTAAGAATAATATCTGAAAAGAAATTAACTGGCCCAGTTCCAATTAGTGGTAATTTCCAACCAATTTCACCATCCGTTATTTTAAATGTGTCACATTTGAAAAGAAATAATAGTGCAAGCAAAGATGTTGTAGATAAAAAACCTGTAGAAGAATGTAAAAATATTGTAAATCAAGATCTGGAACCAACAATAATCCCCAAAACTGAAATCCCTCAAACTGAAGATTACCAAAATAATAAAAATATACAAACACCCCAAGCTTTAAATGATAAATCCAATATTAGTTTAAACGATAACAAAGATTCAAAAATTTCTGTTTTGAAGAACAAACTGTCACCAGAAAGGGTAGCAGCTATAAGAGAAAAAAGAAAGTTTAATATGAAGTTGAAAGATATATTAGAATCTTGTGTTATAAAAATTGAAGAACCAGAAAAAAATAATGAACACAAGGTGGAGCAATCTGATCAGAAAATAGTAGAAAAAGAACCCTCATCTTGTAAAGTAGAACATTTAAGAAACAATGAAATATTTTTATCAAATCTTGAAGCAAGAATGACTAGGATGGAAAATCTCTTGTTAAACAAAATAGATCAAAATACTCAAAGATTTATGGATTTAAAAAAAACAATTGTACCTACGACACTAAAGAAAAGATCTGTGTCTACCCAAACAACTACAAGTGAAGAGGCTTATAAAAGATTTCTATATACAGAAATATCTAAATATTTGGGTTCAGAATCAAATAATTTAATTTATCAAGAACTATTTATAGATAAGTATGCCCGAAATTCTTATGTACGATCTTCCCCACAAAAACGGAGGAAATATAGATGACAATGTAAGATGGGAAACATTTACTTTTTTATTGTTTGAAAGTGGTGTGATCTGCCATTTTAAATATAAGTAATAAGCCATGGCAAAAAGTGTATGCAGTAAGATACAAATAGCTTTATGAATGTGGTTTACGTCATTTGTAACGGTGGTATGTCTCAGCAAGCTTTAATATTTCGAACTTCTTACATACCATATTTTACACATTTCTGCATAGAGTATGGCTACCAAAATAAAACTTATAATACTTGGTATATAATAACAATTTTCTTCTACCTCATCAGGAATACACAACAAGTATGAGACTTTAAACTTTTGATAATTCAGAATTATTTCCATGGAAAATATGTAACTTTAATATATTTTGTGTATTTATGCATTGTTGAACTTTTTTTTTACTTTTTTGTGATGTCACATACTCCTCTTAAGCAATTTAATGTTAATGGCCCAATTTCAAGCAGGAAAAAAAATCATGTATCATTTTTTTGCCCTTTATTACAGTATTTAATTAAATATGCTTTATTTCGATATATTCTTTTAGTTCAAAGATATTTTTATTCAAATAATATTAAAAATTAAATAAAAAAAAAATGGGACTTGTAAATATTGGCACCTACCAGTAGTAGTTATACATACAACTAAAATTTAGTAGTTCCATTAGGACCACATTACCTTGACTTCTCACAGCTGAAGAATGTTCTGTGGAAAGGCTGCATTAAATTAAACTAATTGTCATAAAGAGTTTTTTACTTTTCTGAAGATCAATTTTTTATGCTGCGTAAAAGGGAACTAATAAATAAGTATTTGGATTTACATATTATAATTCAATTAAATTACTTATTGTATGTATATTTTTTTCACTTTATTACTCCTATTCTCTCCTTTCTATTATTTTCCGATTGATTGGTCTTTGATCTTTTATTTTGATTGGTCACACTTGGGTACCTTGTGCAGTGTACTCCTCAACTGGATCAAACTTAGATCTCGGAATATTTAAGTAAACGGTCTAATATACAAGATCTCGGAATATTTAAGTAAACGGTCTAATATACAGGTCTTATGGCTCAGCAGATTTGATATTATAGTTGGTAGACTTCAATGTTGAAGGAAAATTGTAATGTTCACTTTCGGTTATCAATGTTCAAGACCCTTCGTATATCTTATTATTTACCACTTTCATGTTCTATCAAAATTAGATCACCTCTGATAAAAATTGGAACCTACTTTTTATTCCGCATATTTTTCCATTTCAATTTACTTAAAATTTCATATGCATCCTTAGATGCTATTTGTCAAACCAATATTTAAGTTCAAGTGCATACGTTGCATCTACGCATGTCAGGCAATGGTGCAGGCATCGGGTCGCACCCAATGGCCTGGGCATCGTCGCACTATAAGCCTCCCCTACATGCCACGAAGCACGATCCTGGGCCAACTGCATCCATGGACTTCTCACCATCCACTTGCACAGGTCGTCAATCCAGTGTACATATACCTCCTTCTGCAGTATACCGATATGTTGATTACCTTTGTCCTGGTGCTGTGGCGGTGGTTGCGCGGTAAATGTCAATGTTCACGATAGTATCTTAATTGATGTGATTGGTTTTTGTTGACTGACCTGTACTGTGTAACCTGACTATGCTGTATTTTGGGATGAGGACCCTAGTTTATGACTTTATTTTCTAATTTAACTTCTAAACATTTCAGGTTACATCCTTATTAATATAATAAATCATCCAAATCGAACGAGCTTGTAAAAAGTTGCGTGAATACATAAAAAAGATTCATTACCAATTCCTTCTCTTCGTGCGCGATTCCGAGTCGCGCTTGGCCGATTTTCAATAAGTCACATCCGTACTAGAATCTAATGTTTCTACAAACTATCTATAACCGTTATATAATCAAAATGATCAATCTTTTGGTTACCTAACTTTTCTTGTTTTTAAACTTTCATGCATTTCTGTCGACCTATTCACGTAATTATATTTCAAGATTTTCTTCATCTATATATTTCGTTTAAAATATTAATATTGCATCGTATATATATATATATTTTCTCTAAAGTAGTGTAATGCACGATTTTCCCAAGTTTCTCACGCATTTTACATTTTCGCGACCGTATTGGAATTATTTTATGATAGGTACCTATATCCCGTCATAGCACTTTACTCGTTCCCTCGCATGCCGGTTATGGCAGGCCATGTGTGATAAAGCCGGGAGCGAAGATGCAATAAGAACATGCGGTCCCCTCTATCAGTAGGCTTATTACGTAAAAAGCAAATCGCAAATAAGTATTATGTATCAGCAATAACAAAGCGAAAACATAATGACGATAGTGCTGCTTCTGTAGAACAATCGGTGAACTGAAAAGTGCAATAGTATAGGCTATTGCACTTTTCAGTTCACCGATACACACCAAAGCGACATAAAGATTTCGTATCACCTATTTTAATAGCAGTGAGAGCAATCAAAGAACAATCCTAAATTAGTAACGTTAAATTGCGATAACTTTATATTGATTGTTTAATCTATCGCTTCTCTTTCATTAATGTAATTGGCAAGTTTATTCCATTGTTTATCAACAGTTTAGATCTCAATATATAAGTTTATCATCTATGGTTTAGATCTTGCCCTAAGTCCTTTTTGGCTAAGCCAGGATGCTCAGCAAGTACCTAATTCAAAGAGTTCTTCAAGTTGGTGATTCGATATAGTCGTCTAGAGAAATAGTTAAATTTGAATATTTATATTTCTAGTCGTAACAATTTAAAGTTGAAGCTGACATCTATTTTACACTTTCCATTTACTAACCTTTTGCTACTTGATGGCTTATTTGACAGTTTAGCGGGCCAAAAGTGCATATTTACGATCAGCCAACAATAGGTATTAAGCGATGAGTGATGAATGATGAGATTTTTTTTGACATAAAGCAATCGATCACGCGTCGAGTTAAGTATTTGGCGATCGGTATATCAATATTTTTTTTTATTTAATTAAATTACAAGGTGGTTATGGTGTGGTATGATAGTTAGGAATGGAGTTTGACTGATTTATAATTTAATGAACTAAAAGTAATGATGCCATCGGTGCAAGTTCGCCGTGCTGTCTGCAGTAATGGGGGTTATGACGTGCTAACTGTCGTCTGCACAATTTTCGCTGGTCGCCAATTTCAGTTGGTAAGGTCGACGGTATCCTTAACGTAAAGATAACTTTAAAAAAAAAAAGAAAGACTTCCGACATATTGTTATTTTTAGGCCTGTGTCGATCGCAAAAAAAAGGGAAAGTGGCGATTGCTTCGCCATTATTTAGGCCACAAATTAATTACCAAGATAATTTGTCTTATTTATTGATAGACTAAACGCCATCAATTAACAATGTAATGCTATTAAGTGGTAAAGAGCGTGACCGTTACGTGGTACGTCGTTAGTGTCGCAAATAAGTTAATTATTGACGAAAAAAAACGAGAACATTAATCATTTCATTTATTTCAAAATTCATTCATCGTCACTACAGACGTCGAACACCATCAGTATCTGAAACAAGGAATATCGTTATAGTAGTGTCATATGGAGACATTATAGTTTGTAGTTAATAAGACTAATAAAATGCAATTAGAATGAGACAAAGAATGTAAGAGCCCATGGGCACATCGCCCACAACTATTGTATATCTCTATATTAGGTATTTATAATAATACAGTTTATTTTCGTAGAGGTCGATTAATGGGTATAGTATTGAGTGTCCAGTTATGCGCGATAGTCCAGTTATGATTGACGTTACAATGAGTTGGAATACACAATTGAGTTTTAGTCTAAAGGAAGAACCTTAAATCGGGTTATTTTTAGATGCAAATGCAAACACATTCAATATTTCAAACTTCTATCATCTAGTAGTTTTAGTCTAGGTACAGACAAGTAAAGATCGTCTAGATCTCGTTTATTCATGATTTTGTTATTTTGATGTACACTCTTCGTGTTTCAGAGATACAGACTCGCAAGTCACATTTCAATGTACCTTTAGGCTTCTTCCTCTAAAATCACTCAGGCTGCCCGATGGTTAGAAACCTAGCAGAAACCCGTCCAAAACGTCGATAAGGGACGCACATTATATTGCGGACGGAAGGATTATATCACCTATTTATGGAGTTGGTGACGCCATAGCAATCGCGGTTAGCTGAGAAACGACGCTGCCCGCCGCCACGTTGCCGTAGTATGCCTGGGCGGCGGCGGCGGTGCTGCCGGCAACGATGCCGCCGCTGCTGAAGCCCAGCATCGGCGCCACCCACGCGGCTCCTAGGCCCCCCGTCCCGTAAATGACGGCGGCCCCTACGGTGTTCACAACGATTGCCGCGAGCAAACCCATCGTCACACTGGAAAGATAACTGTGCTGGTAAGATACGGAAAATATTATTTATTTTTATTACATTACAACACCCTCGTAGAATAAATAGCCTTAAAATTCCAATGGAGCTACGGATTCCTGTTGGCGGCGGTGACCGCTTATCGGCAAAGGCTTAATTCAATTGCAACGTTAATAGGGTTATGCAGCAGCCTCGGCTGTTGCACGAATGGGCAGGCTCGTCCGGGTAAGTACCACTACCTTACAGAAGACCGGCGTAAAGTTGAAGTATAATACTTTCGCGTTTCGTCTGGTGAGTGAGGTAGCCGACGCCCAAATTCCAACGCATCTGCAAACCCTCGGGTGTAGTATAGTACTTTTGATATTTTTGTGTTATCATGAATTCTTGAATAAAATTTAAACGTTTTAAGTGTGGACAAGACAGTGTTTTACGGAAGGTTTTTAATATGAAAATGTTGACAATAGTAAAATGGCAAGATTTAATTACGTTTTTTTCTCGAAAAGTATAGATCACTATCAATTTTTTTTTATTGATTACTTAGTGATACGTCTCTATAGTTATGTGTCGTTTAAATTTTTCTTTTGTTTGCTATATAAAAGTAGTGGGCTGCTGAAATTTTACCCCCGTTTCAAGTGAGCAGCTGGCTGGTTAGTGTAGCTGTGTTGTAAGCATGATTACAGTGGCCAGTAGCGAACACCAGACAAGTGGCTGTTACAGTACAGGTAAGGGAAATGCAACTCTAGTGGTATTTTCCTCTCGAAATGGACGAGAAACGTTAAAAAATACGTCCAATTTTGTTGCCTGTTGCCGGCCATTGTACTAATTAATTAACTGTTTACACTACGGCAAGTGACGTGTCAAATGTCGGGGAATTAAACGGGCGCGCGGTGGGTGCACTTGCAACAGAAATAAAAAGATATTCTATTAGGATCTAGTTGCAAGGCAGCTTATAAGCAAATTTGATTCGTAACTGTCCTATTGGTTTACACTCACACTGTACTCTTATTGTATAAGTATAACGCATTCAGCCATTCACGTATTTATATATATATAGTCAATAACTAATATAAGACTCGCACGGAATGCAACGCCCCGATCGCTCCACGTCGCACTTCCTTGCGTTCGCCATTTTCTATATAGCGAGCGACATGTCGGATATCAAGCAATATTAACATTTCTTCAGTATTTATATATATATATATAGTCAATAACTAATATAAGACTCGCACGGAATGCAACGCCCCGATCGCTCCACGTCGCACTTCCTTGCGTTCGCCATTTTCTATATAGCGAGCGACATGTCGGATATCAAGCAATATTAACATTTCTTCAGTATTTATACATATATATAGTCAATAACTAATATAAGACTCGCACGGAATGCAACGCCCCGATCGCTCCACGTCGCACTTCCTTGCGTTCGCCATTTTCTATATAGCGAGCGACATGTCGGATATCAAGCAATATTAACATTTCTTCAGTATTTTCTATAAATTTTACTTGCGCCATAAACAATTTACCCAAACTTAAAAGTACTACCCGAATAGATTCACTAAGCTACAAATACTGTTAAAGAATTGCCAATGAAATTAGAAAAATTACTTACGTTGATTTTAAATGGAAACTTCGTACTCAAAGTCTCGCATTAATCACTCTAAACTTTTTGTCTGTTGTCTGGCCTCTGCCTTCGATTATTGCCGAGCCGAACCGACACTTATCCTATTACACTTTACACTTTCTATGTGTATGTATGTATTTTTTTTTTTATTAAAGATTTTATGGCCTGGTAACAAGACCTTTAAGCCAAGTCTTATTTTCGAACACTAATTTTCTCATTTTTGTATATTTTTACGTGTTCACTGATTTTATTTAGTTATTTAAATTGTCCCCACAGTATTTTTAACGTATTTATATAATGCATTATAACACTTTTTGTTTTTGAGCAAATCACACAAGTGGCGGCGGGAGGTATCACTAACTTCTATTATTTATTTCACTTGCCAATATTAGTCTATGAAAAACGAACGTTTTATTTGGACATTTGAAGAAAATATGATTCATGTCAGCTATCCCATCATTACAGAAAATGCAAATATTGCTTTTTATTATATTGAGTCTTGCGAGGTGTGCAGGTGCAGTGTTATGGCCAAATCGTAATCTGTTGATTGTGGTGACGAATTCACGGCTAACTATTTATTTCCAGCTCATCATACCAAGGTCTCGGTAAATTCTCTTGGATACCTCCATACCATTTTCCTTTAAATTTTTGATCCTCCTTCCAGAAGTTTAGCCAAATATTTTTTAATGAAATATTTACATCGGAATAATAATCGATCATAGGAACATGCACCACATTTCTAACGTCAATAGCATTGACCCCTTCATATGCAGTTTTGTCTGCAATTTCATTACCAGAAATACCTTTGTGTGCGGGAACCCACATAAAGGCAATTGTTATCCCCTTTTTATGTAATCGAAATACAATATCTTTAATGAAATAAATTATGAAATTTGTTTTTAATATTAAGACTTACATGTCTTAGACTGTTTATAAGACTCAAAGAGTCTGTTAAAATTAGAAAATATTTACAATTAATTACACAACTAATTGATTTTAAAGCTTCAAAAACTGCATATGCCTCTGCTGTAAAAATGGAGCACTGTTTATCTAGAGCAAAGCTTTGAGCAACATCTTTTTGGGGATCATATACTGCACTTTCTCACGTAATCATTACCTTTACTGCCATCAGTGTAGATTATATAATACTTCTTGTTTTCTTCTAAGAATGCTAGAAAGTCTGAATTGTTATCAATTGAATTTGATAGAATCATAATAGGATGTGTAATACTATTATAAGAATGAGTGTAACATGGCCAGTGAGAATGTTTTTTGATATTTGAATAATGAGATTGTATTTCTAAGAAAATCCGGCACAAAGTTGGAGTTGTACCTGTCAGAAGATCTTTAGATGAAGTCAATGGACCATCTATGTTAATGAAGTGAGGTATGATTCTATTTATAATTTGCAAATTATTTGATGATAATAGTTTCAGACAGTATCTTTCTGCAAGCAAAGTCTTCTCAAAATCAAAGGCATAATATTTTTTTCAACTTCCATGGCCCTTCTGGGAGTCGAACACATTGCCCCTGATATGATCCTCAAAGCCTTGTTCTGTAAAACATCTAATTTATGGAGTATGAGTGCTATTTAAATAACCCAAAGAACTGTAATCAAAATGGCTTGATATGACAGATTTATATAGCACTGAAAGTATTTTGGGGTCTGCACCCCATGTAACACCTGCTAGACATCTTAAAATGTTGACACTGTTTAATACATTCCTAGATACATATTTTATATGTTCTTCAAATGACAACTTCTGGTCAATGATAACACCCAAGAATTTGTGTACAGCTACTCGTTGAATAACATTACCATTATAAACAACATCAATTAATGGCTTATCTTTTCCAAATATCATGACACTACTTTTGGCAGAATTTATATTTAAATTTAATCTGTTCTGATAATAATTACTCAACTGTCTTAAACCAGTGTTAACATTTTCAATGGCTACTATTAAATTCACATCTGAACTGTATAAAACTAAATCATCTGCAAACTGTAGTATATTTACATTTTTAGTATTTACATATTTACATATCTCACAAGTATACAAGTTATATAACAAGGGCGACAATTTGCACCTTGTATGGTGCCCTTTGACACATTTCTAGGTCCATGCAAGGTATTGTTGTGCTTTACATATAATATTCTATTATTAAGGAAATCATATATCCATTTACATAATTGGCCAGGTACACCAGCGTTGCTCAGTACCTTCACCAGTATGCCAGGATTCACACTATCAAATGCACTTTGCACATCCAGAAATATACAAACTGTGTGTAATTTATTGTGTTTTGCATTTTTCAGGTCATTTATGAGGGAAATGAAGCTGTCAGTACAACTTCTTCCTCTACGAAATCCATATTGAACATGAGGGATCACACTATTAGATTCTGCATACCAGTCAAGGCGTGACTTTATCATGTTTTCAAATATCTTTCCAAGACATGACGATAGCGAGATTGGTCGATAAGAACTAGCCAGTTCAGGTGATTTATCTGGTTTAAGTATAGGTATTACACATTGAGTTTTCCATGAATTTGGTATTATTTTTTTATGTCAGAGACTATTAAGAATGTTCAAAAATAACTTTTGTATAGATTCAGGTAGATGTTTTATCAGTAAATATGGAAAATCATCTAAACCAGGACTAGTATTTTTTCTAGATTGTATACTCATCAAAAATTCATTCCATGAAAAAGAATCCAGTAAAAATCTTGAATGAGGATTTTCATTGTTATTATTAAAAAAATTGTCTAATGATTTTGGATCAACTAAATTGGTGTTATCTGATAGCTTGTGTAAAAGCGGTTGTACAAATTCATCCTTATATGACTTATTACCCATTCTCATACCCTTAAACCTTTTAATGAGTTTCCAGATTTCACTAATGGGAGTATTTCTATTGAAACTGTTACAAAAACTATTCCAACTGATTCTTTTTTGCTCTTTTATGGTGCGCTTTTTTAAAGCATCCAATCTTTTATAGTTGATGTAATTATGTATTGTTGGATCACTTCTGTAATGTTTCAGTGCATCATAAGATTTAATAACGGCTTGTTCACATATACTGTTCCACCAGGGGGCTGGTGGTCTACTTCTAAAGTTAGTCCTAGTGAATCTAGTAACTATCATTCTTTTAAGTGTATCAAGTCGGTTACAAAATTCCTCATAGGATTTCATTGCATTCTCTTTGCTAACCATCATGTCATGGAACACTGAATTAGAGAATTCTCTATATTTAGTCCAATCTGTTTTGTTGTATAAAAATTTGTCACTATGTTTATTGATTGAGTATCTTTCAATGCACATTGTAATGCTTGTGATGGTTGGATAATGGTAACTGCCCATAGCATCGTCATGCACAGACCATTCACAAATTGGGGCCAACTGTGGACTAACAAAACTTACATCTATTGCTGAGGGATTGCGTGTAGGATAATTTACTGTAGTGAAGCTGCCATTATTTATAATGCATAAATCATATTCATCGATAATGTCATACAAGCTTTGACCACAACTTTTTGTAGACAGACATCCAAAAGCAATATGATGTGCATTGAATCACCACTTATGAAAAGAGGTTTTGGTAAATCTCTTATAATATTGCGCAATCTATTAATTCTTATGTGCTTATTGGAGGGAGGACAGTACACACAAAGAATAGATAAAGTTGTATTTTTTGTATTTATACTTATAGCTATTGTTTGTATATCTTCATAAAAAGTAGTATTTCGTCGTTGAAGTTCTAACACCACGTAAGTCACTTTTTGGCTATTTTGACATTTTGATGCCATTCGCTAGAGAATCGAAAGAAGCATCGTTTTAGCCAATCAGAAACACGTATCGGCCAATAGAAACTCGTGAAATTAAGAAAATTCATCTACACGGAATCCACCAAATCGGCGTTATATTTGGAAACAGCACGTAAATCACATAAGTTCCATAGTGTGGAACGTACTTCCCGGTTGCTCCTAACAATTAATGGAAAAAAGGTAGGAAATTATAATAAGCATACTATTAAGATTGTATTTGTCGTTTTATTAGATATTCCTACTCTTAAACGTCGATAATTTTTATATTGATATAAGCTTATTTTAGTTAGTTAATGCTAATGAAAGTTGGTGAAATGACTTAAGTGGTGTTGCTCTAAGGCCCATCAGAAGTTACGTGGTGTTTTAATGTAACGGTTTTCTGGTTTGTTACGATCATATTTTAAATTTTAAGTTGAATAGTTCATAATTAAGTAACATAAAATTTAAAATATTGTATATATTAGTTATTATTAGTATTAGTACTTATTCAGTAATGAATAATTTATTCAGATAAAAAAGACTCAAAATGAGCAGTGACGAGGATGAAACATTTTTTTTTATGGGAATAGGAGGCAAACGAGCATGTGGGTCACCTGGTGATAAGCGATCACCGCAGCCCATGGACATTTGCAACATCGGTTGAGTCGCAATTGCGTTGCCGGCCTTTAAGGAAGGAATAGGCTCTCTTCTTGAAGGTCCCTAAGTCGTATCGGTCTGGAAATACCGCTGGCGACAACTCGTTCCACAAAGTAGTTGTGCGGTGTACTGTACTTGAACTTTGCAAAGTATTAAAAATTAAGGTACCCCTGAAAAACGTTAAACAAAAATCAGTTACCCAGAATACTATACACCGAATTTCAAACCTCGAAAATTTGTTGTCTAAATAATTTACCTATTCTAATATTAAATAACAATGAAAATACAACTGTTTCTGATTTAGTTACACAGACTCCACCACAAATTTTAACAGACGATCGTTTAAATATAATTACTGAAAATTTAATTATTACATCGGGGGAAGGTGAACAGTCTTCATTGATAATAACAGAAGAAGTTATAGAAACATCTATGATACAAGAATCAGGAGAATTGCGTGAAAACCAAACACGATTATTATCATCAGAAGAAGGAAGCACCGTGAAAATACCTGATGTAATGACCCAAATTGTAACGGATAGACTAAGTGATAAAAATATTGATATTGTAGAAGCTAATGAAAACGAAAAAACAATTAACAACGAATATTGTGGAGATCCCATTCTAAACGTAAAAGAAAATCCAAAGGTCAGATACCAAAAGAGAGGGGACAAAAAATGAATGCAAGAAATTAGGATAAGAGGGAGAGCAGTACATGGGATATCGACGAGATAGCAAACAAACTTTATTTGTATCCAGTTGTACAGAGCAAATTGAAACTCTATAAATTGTTCTGTGAGAAATGTAACGAATAGCAAGAAAAGCCCACCTCTCGATGGTTATTCGATCAAGTATTCATTGAAAATAATTTAAGTCTAATTTCACCTAAGAAAGACCAATGCGATTTGTATTGTTCTCATAATGTAGGAAATATCAGAGAAGCCAAATACCGTGAACATAGATTAAAGAAGGATAGAGCTAAACAGGAAAAAACTCAAGATAAATTAAGGGCTATCAATAAAGTAGTGCATGTCTCTACACATGACTTACAATCGCTACAGCTGTGTCCTAAACTTGAAGCCAGTGCAATATATTATAAGAAAAAATTAGGTGTTAACAACTTCACCATGTACAATCTTGAAAACAAAGACGTGGATTGTTATTGGTTCG